ATTTCAGGGACCCGCAGGGCCGCGGGTCTAGATTGCAGCCCTTGCCACTGGCCAGCTCTGCCTGCGTTTCCACGATAGGCCCTGTCTTCACTTTTTAAAATACGAACAGGCTTCTGGTGGGTGGGATCAAATGACTGCCCCTCTCCCTTCACCTGTGAAATTTCAGAGCCTATTTGAAAAGGGCCATTGTTTCCCAGGAATGCCAGGCCCAGTCCAGGAAAGAAAGTCTTCGTTTCAGCAGGAATTTGGAGCCTGCCTGAGAAGGCCGGCCAGTGACTTGGTGAAAACTGGCAATTCATTCAGCTCCTGAGCAGTTACTCTCTCGGCCCCACACTCTTGACTCTCAACTCCTGGGCTTTATGACTAATAGGTTGTTTTTTCTCCCCTTAAATCCCAGGGATGTGCGTCTGTGTGTGTCTGTGTGTGTGTGAAGGTAGAAGGTGGTGTGTGAAGTGCAGCCGAAGGAAGAAGGAAACCTCTTTCCTCTCCTCTCCTCCCCTCCCCTCTCTTCCCTCCTCCTGAGACCAGGGCGCTGTGGCCCAGAGCAGGAGACATAGGTCCCTCTGTTCCCACAGGGGCCCCACATTTACGGTGCTCGAGCCCATTCGTGTGAATAAGCTCCGTGTTTAACAAGCATTTTGCAATGGGTCCCCAGTAAAATGTATTTGTGCAAGAGCAGGGAGCAAAGACACAGCACTTGCATTCAGAGATCTGCACAGAAGGCCCCTGTCTGGGGCACATGAAAAATAATTCCTAGAGTCAGATTTGGACTAGACGCCAAAGGAATACACTGCTCTAAAAAGAAAAAAAAGAAAAAAATCCAAAACCTTGATACAGGGAGAGGTCCAGAGGCAAATTTCCTTGTGGGAGCCCACGGGCCGGCTATGGGCTTGACTGTCTACAGTTCCTACTGACCTACTGCTCAGAACCGCCTGACATTTTCTACAAAACGACCTGGAAAGTTTCCAAAGTATGTTCGTTCTACTGGTAAGGTATTCAAGTACACAGAATCCTTACGAAGAAAGGCTACCTCCACCCGCAAATGTCTCGAAACGACAGCTGGCGTCCAAATGGACTCAAATGTAAACGCTAAAGGCGGCTAACAGTGAGTAACAGAATAGGATCAGGGCACTGGAAGGCGAGCGTTCACCCTTAGGGGCGCTCAGCACCGCGGGAGGTGGAGGCGCCGGCAAAATCGCGCAGGACGGTGGACACAGGTCAGGGCCAGGCGAGCGTCTGAATGTGAGCTGGGAAATCTTTTTCCTATGATTCTTGACACATCCCTGATGCAATCTCTCATTTAACAGTAAAGCACCACGAATTTGCGGCGAGTGACCACGTGATTATTTTCCGAGAAGGTTCTAAAATGAGAAAACAGTGGAAACAGGCCGATGGAGGCAAGAGATGGTAGCCGTGCCCTTCCCTCCTCTTTGTCAGATGCTTCCTGCGATCTCGCTGAAAACCCCAAGTTGTAACATTATTAGTCACTGGACGTCAGGGAAGATGAGGCACAAAAGCGAGCTTGTCCTTTGGAGACCTGGTTTTGAATCGGTTACAGACGACAGAAAAATACTCTTTTGTGGCTGCTAAAGTTCAGGAATGAGCTCTGGCAGTCCTCCCCAACTCCCGGAGTCCGCAGCACCGACTTCTAATTGGCGGGCTTCGCTCCAACTCCCACTAGGGCCGGGCGGTGAATGGACTTAGTGAAGGTGTCCTGAGTCATCTGCGGCGTGGCCAGGCCGGGCACCGAGGCCCTTCCTCACGACGCTCCAGCCTGTCACCCAAGGACGAGACAGGCCCGTGTGCTTGCCTGACAACGACATACTCGACAGTTTTATTAAACTGTAGACCCAGAGAAAGGTGTTTTCTTTCCATCTTTACTGTTGAGAGTATTACAGATGTCACCCCTTGTTTTCCCCCTTGCCCCCTACCACCCAGTTCCTGCCCCACCCCAGGCCTTCACCACCCCATTGTCTGTGCCCGTGGGCAACACATATCTGCAGAGAAGTTCTCTGGTCCATCTCTTCCTGCCCCCCCCTCCCCCTGAGATCCCTCAGTCTGTTCCATGCACCCATGTCTCTGGATCTATTTAGATTTAAGGTTTAAGTATATGAATCTGTCATTCTAAAAGGCTTTTCATTTGTCTGTTAATACTGACCCCTACAGGTCGACTATAACAACAGCATGGGCGGCTGCTCTCCAGGCAAAGGTTCAGTCAGTCGAGAACGGGGGTGTGATCGTTACATTAAGTTTAAAATACATTAGACCCCAACGCCAATTTATATTTTAAATCTTTAAAATCCCACAAAAATCAACTGGTCTCATAAATATCTGTGTACTCTGATTAAAAGGCAAAGCGATACCTGAATAAGTCGATCTTACCTCGAGCACTGGCAGTATTTCCCTCACTCACCGGGACTTCTTTTTAAGTCAATAGTGCAAATGAGTAGTTGTGAAACTTTCTTATTTTTTAGGAATAGATTATGTACTTTTATTCGCATGTTATTAATTCATTGGTTTTTAAAGGACAATATACTCTGGTAATTCCATAAAATACTTTAATCTTTGCAGTATTAAATTTGATAATTCCATACAAATAAACTGGGAAATGTTTCGATATTGCTTAAGCTACATTTACCATTTTCAATTTTCAAGGGAAAACTCCAACTCACATCAGTCAAAAACGAATCAATTCAATAACTAGACTTCCTAGTTTGAGTTATTTTCTTCTAGTTACACTAGATGTTCCAATAAACACCTGAAAACTAGAAACTATTGCAACTCTCTGAATCCAATCTCTTATCCTTCAATCTATGTCCATTACCTTTTACCTCGTTGGTGCCCAAAGTTAACAGCCATCTCTTTACTTACCCTAAGGCCCAATACTTCAAACACTCTCTAGTTAATAACCTCTACTCCTTGACTCTATTCCATTTCACGCAACAAGGCTAACATAACCCTAACCCGACTGACAGAAGGTCTGCCCTCTATAGGCCTACTCTTAAGGAGAGGGACTTTGCAATTTAAGAATATGTCCAAGACCTATAAATCATCCTCAATAAACCAGATAGCACCTCTTGCAAATAATAAGATATGGTTTGTTGGCAAATAACTATTACTTTGAATAATAAGGTTCTAAAATGTGGGATAAAAAAAGAGTTATACAAGAAGTTGACTTAGTCCTAGCCAGAGCAACTGGGCATGAGAAGGATTCAATGACAACTCTGGTTCTGACATGTGGAAGGAAGATTCTTCAAGTTGCTAAGGGCAACCCCCATCTGAGAGACAACGTGGAAACAAGGACCTCAGTCCTACACCCATAAGGAACTAGCCTCTGCCAATAACCTGAATGAGCTTTTAAGTGTATTTTTCCTAGAGCCTCCCTGTAAGAGCCAACACTTTGATTTTGGCCTCGTGAAATCTGGAGCAGAGAAATTAGCTGAGCCCATCTGGATTTTTGACCTATGAAATTGTGAGATGATAAATTTGTGTTGTTTGAAGCCATTCAGTCTGTCCTGTTTCTTACGGCAGCCTTAGACTGTCTTCCCTTGTGAGTGTTGAGGTGACTCACAGCCACACAAGGACCCAGCTGAGCCAAGCTCAACTGCTGATCCACAGTCGGTTTGATGACTCAAGCCACCCAACCTCTGGGTGGTTTGCTAGGCAGTAATAAGTAACGGGTACAGAAATAAGTGCTGAGAACTGGAGTGGGCTGTGTTAAAAACCTGAAGCAAATGGCACTGTCTCTGAGGCTGGAAGAAGGGTGAGGTCTTGAAAAGAGAGGAAATGGTTAGTGAAGGCTGAGAAAGGAGCTGTGTATGATCGAGGCCCACAGGACTAAGGGGAGGTTTTCTCAAGGCAGGAGAAGTCAAGTGTGATAGACAAGGAGATAGAGAAGATGACGTGAACCGAGGGAGAAATAAATGGTGATTAATTTGTGAAGCAATAGCTTGAAGCAATGGGAGTGTATGGCTCCAGCACCTAGGGGATGCACCTACCTTAAGCACCTTTCCTTTGAGACAGGAGGTAAGACAGGAATCAACACGGAGGAACCAAACCTTAGGAAAGGATTGTCTTGGTCTGTCCCACCTTGAGTGGGCTTCCATCTGAAGCTTGAAGAATGTCCATTTTTGACCCATAAGTTTGAAAGCAGCCATTGCTATCATCACCATCATCACCATCACCAGCATTATCATTTCATGTCTCCCTTGGTGTATTATAAAAGCATCCCTTCCCCCACAAAGAAACATAAACTTAGAGAGGTATTTTATTGACTAAACAACCACAGAGGACATTTCCTTACTTGAGCAGTGCCTTATTTAAACACCATGCCCCCAAATTATTGCTAGGACCCAGGCACCCTTTTACAATTAAGCCTCAGTAATGTGCATTCCCACTTCACGTAAACACTGGTTAACACAGGGGATGTGCTTGTTCCCTTAGTACTTTGGATTAACATTTTTGAATACTTTTAACTTTTTGGGTTCTGTAAAAGGAACTTTTCTAAGGTATTTTTGGCAGGTGCTTTGGCTGGCTTCACTGGATCCATTCATTAGCACAAGGGAGCTTTTTCCACTGGTCGCAGACTAAGCCTAAGGTGGAACTCACTGGGTAAACATTCCTGTTTACTTGTCATGGTAAATCATTTGATTTATGGTTGAACTAGTTCCCTGTACACAATAGTTTTGTTTGATAAATTAATTAATAAATAACATATAGGGACCAAGATAGACGGTTGGTTCAGGACAATAGAACACTATGAGGTTTTAAATAAAATGAATTATAATTTGTATCGCTATATATTGCAATTAGCATCATCATCACCATCATCATTTCACTTTCATGTGGAATAGAAGTTTCTCCTAGAAAATGAATATGAAAATATATCACATTTAATAACTATTTTAGTTACACCCTTGTATTGGTCAGGGTTCTCTAGAAAAACAGAACCAATAGGTTGTGTATCATATAAAGAGATTTATTTTAAGAAATTTGCTTACCTGATTATGGAGGCTGGCAAATCAAAAATCTGCAGGGTGGGCTGGCTGGCTGGAGACCCAGGAGAGAGCAAGGAAGGCCTTCATCTGCACCGAAGGGTTGCCAGTTCGATTCCAGGTCAGGGCACCTGCCAAAGTTTCGGGGTCAGTCCCCAGTAGGGGGCATATAGAGGGCAGTCAATCGATGTTTCTCTCTCACATCAATGTTTCTCTCTCTCCCTCTCTCTTTCTTAAAAAAAAAAAATCATATTTATTTTTAAAAAAGCAGTCAGGTATATAGGTAGTCCTGGAACACACATTGAAAAACATGGGTTTGGGGTTTAGGAGCTCAAGAGAAAAGAAATGGAGAGAGCAGATAATAGTGGACAAAAAAATACAGCTTGATTCTTGGCTATTTATTTTCCTGATACGTACTTTGAACATAAAATAGAAACTATGCTAAGTGAATATATTAAAGGACACTTGAAATGGGTAAATTAAGATGCAGGTTATTTTTTATTTCATTAGCATTGGCAATGACTTGTGGATATTTAGGAGAACTATTTAATTGGAAATGTCCGGAATAAGATGTTGCTCAGACTCTCCTTGATGTTTACTTAGCAGAAGTAAAGACATTCAATAATTTGCTTACTTGCTCTTCTATTATTAAAATGTTCTTGGGTCTCATGACTGACACTTCCAATTCTAATTCTTTCCAAATGCACCTAATCTGCTGTAAAGAATGAGTGGAGTCAGCTTCCTCTCTGTCCCCATTCTATGAAAGTGGCTGCCAGCAACGTTCTTAAATTGAAACACTTGCTGTGAAAATCTAATGTGATTACTTAATGAGATATGCAAATCTGAACTTGACTGGATGTATCAGATTTAACTTCAAGGTTTAGCTTTCAACAAAATTTAAAAGTTAACAACAACAGTCATAACCCAACATTATTTAATTATGACAAAATTGATCATTCATTATAATAATAGCAGCTAACATTCATTGAGCTCTTACAGGCACTTTACATGTATTATTTCATTAAATCCTCACAGAAATTCTTGAGCTTGATATAATTATTTTACAGGTGAGGTTAAGAGAAGTAAAGTAATTTTTTAACACCATGGAACTAATAATAAGAGTTTTTTCTCACCCATTTGTGCATATCTGTAGCTTAGTGTGTATATATGTGTATATACACACACACACACACACACACACACNCTTAACACCATGGAACTAATAATAAGAGTTTTTTCTCACCCATTTATGCATATCTGTAGCTTAGTGTGTATATATGTGTATACACACACACACACACACAAACATCCCTCCCTTTCATTTGCTAATCAGTATAGAGTTTCAACAATAAATGTATTACTTTGGAAAAACAGTAATGTATTATTAATTCCAACTAGGCTATAGTTTTGTTTTTTTAAAATGTGAGTTCTTATGGTGCCTAAATCTGAGATATTTGTGGGACAGTAATACATTTGAACATTTTGCTTGGAGGATGCCTTTGAACTATAATAGCTCAACTCATGAATCTTCTCTCAAGTTGAATATAAGACAATTTTATGAATCAGGTTTGAAAGAGAAGTTGGGAATGGGGCAGAAAAATTAGAGAGCAGGTGGAAGACAACGCAAGACTCCGAATTCATACTACGTCTTCCCATGAGCCGATGAACCACTGAAGGTTTCTTCCCACTTGGCTCATTTAACCCGAGAAAGGCTATCAGGATGTCTGAACCTCGACCAACACTGCTAACGGTAGCAAGGTCTGGGTTAACTTGAAAGAAGTTAGTATTAACAAATAATTTACACGCCGTANTTGCTAACAGTAGCAAGGTCTGGGTTAACTTGAAAGAAGTTAGTATTAACAAATAATTTACACGCCGTACATTTTAAGGCATTCCAATCAAGTACAGAATTAAGTAATAGTCGCCTTTCTTACTAAGCAAAGAACAGGAAGGAAAAACTTTTCTTCAGGCATGAAAAAAAAAAATTAACCGAGTTTCTTTTAGCCAATAATATATCATGTCAAGGCACAAAGGGAAAAAGAATATAAATAAATATATTATTTATACGTTTTTCCAAGTGTACCTTTTTAGTAGTTAACTTTTTCAAAAAGTAAAAAAATAATTATACTTTCTAAATATTATTATAATGAAAACTATTACCACTGTCTTAAAGTACTGTTATTCATTTTTGCATGTCCACATTTTGAATATATTTTGGTAAATTTAATTTACCAAAGCATATACATACAGCTAATCAATTTTAATTAATTGACATTACATTTAATTGATATTAACATTAATTTTCAAAATCCAAAAAATTTTATAGTTTAGAGGTTACTAATTTGTGGACTCTTCGACGCTTCCATTTCTTTCTGTTATATCAGGTGCCTGCTGGTAATTTTACTAAAAAAAGTGAAGTTAGGCACAATAGCATTGAACCTAGTATTTTCTTTCCCCAAAATGGCACACTGGGAGATGAACGAGAATGAAAATGACATGGGTTTCACATTCATCCGAGTTGACCAATAATCAGAAAGACCCAGCTCTTGCTCAAGAATAAAGGGTGCTAGATAGAGAGTAATTCACGTTCCAGCCAAAATCGTTATAAATTTTGGAACCTGCAGGTAAAGGGTTTGAGGCTGAAAGAATTAAAAAAAAAACTCTTGTTAATAATAAATACTATACGAGGCCTTTCTAAACAGTTTTTCAGTAGAAAATTATGAATAATGTAACAAGGTGTTAGTGGAATGAGAGAAATGCTAGAACGTGTCATATATAGAAGGAGAGCGCTGACCTCCGTATAGTTCCCTGTGTGCTCTGGGCTCTGCCTGAGACCTGCATGCACTGGGCAGCTGCAGCCTCCTACCAGGTCCCGTACCAGGTACTCGGGAGAGACAGGAAAGAAGCCGTTGCTGCCCCCTGGGCCTCTGACCTGGTCTAGGAGCCAGCAAACATTTTTTCTGGAGGCCCTGACTTGTGGTTTGTGCCCACAAGGACCATGTGGAGCCTCAGGCTCTGGAATTTTGAAACCAAACATTGACAAGCGGCTTGAGTTTGGTTTAAGTTTGGATGCTGAAGGGATCTTAAGAGCTCAGCAAATACGGATGTGTGTAGCTTTCTTTAGCTTTTTCCATTTGCAAAAATGTTCTGATGGGAGAAAGGAAAACATTGCATCAGTTGGTGCTTAAGTAAATAGAAGTAAATGAGAAATTTCTAGAAATGGAAGAGCTGACACTGAAACATGTCCAGGTTTGTGCCTCTTGCTGGCTTTGGTCTTGATGTTTTCAGATCTCTTTTGAACAAATTATCAAGGCTAGGAATGCACAGAGGCGGCCCTCGCCAGCCTCAGGCCTGCCCCTGCTGTGGGCCTGTGGGACACTTGGGGAGCAATCTCAGGAAGGGACACACTGCTCTTTTAGCCACAGGTACACAGGTAACGAATTCACATGTGATTCAGAATCACAGCGGGCCTCATGCTGAAGTAATAGCATAGACATTCAGTAGCTGATTAAAAATTTAAAAAAATAGTAAGTAAATCAAATAAGAGATGAGCTAGTCAGAAGGGTAGAGCACATGATGGGAATGAAGAATAAAAGCAGGCCCTTCTTATTTATGATTAAACGTTCACCCTCCTATCATTCTACCCGCCTAAAAAACACCCAGTACACACACCCCCTCCTCAGCTCCCGAGGGCCCACTGCCAGCAGCAGATGCCTTGCCTGGGACAAGCTTGCCATCTAGTGGCCGTGACCGATAGAGCACGGGGCTGCCTTCGGCGCGGACACACCCCTGCACACACGTGCGCACACGCAGACACACGTGCACACGCACAGACACATGCACACATAGACACGCACACACATGCATACACGCACGCACACAGGCACACACGCGCGCACACACACACATACACACATACACACATGCACATATGCACACACACTTGCTCAGCGGCCGGCCAGGAGAAACACGGGGGTGGCCCGAGACCGCGCGGCAGAGACCCCGCGGCACCGCTGCGCGCCCGTGTATTTGGGCGCCTGTCGTGAAAGGAAATCAAGAGCCGAGGGACCAAGAGGAGCTTGGGGCAGAAAGAGGGGCGCGGAAACTCGGGTTTCCTCGGACAGGGGGAGCAGCTTAGCGGCAGTTACATTTTGATTGGAGTGAAAGTGAATCCTGATACATAATGGCTTGTGTTTTACTTGTTCTT